TGAATTTTGTGCCTTTATTTTGTGATTAAGTCTCCGTTCGAGGCGTTATTATTGGGGTGAATCCTAACAGTTTCAAAGACATGAAGAAAGGTGTATGCTCTGTAATTGATGTAGAACACTTAGCAGACACGTTTATGTCAAAGTGGGACAGTCGCAAGCCCAAATGCGGGCCTGGTCGAAGAAAATAACTTGTTTCGAAGAAACGGCCGTAACTTTCAAACCGTATGTCGGAATTGGACGAATTATATATGAAAATCGACTATCTCGACGAGACGGAGCCATCCAAACCCACCCCTTCGGGTTTGGTTTGCGTTATTCGTTTCGCCAAATTCCTTACGATTTGAGAGATATTTGTATTTTTGTCCGTTTTTTGCTATTTTTAGTAATATTTTAGGAGTCTGTTTTGTTTAGGAAACAAATCCGATTTGATCTCAGATTTGACCTTTTAGGAGTCTGTTTTGTTTAGGAAACAAATCCGATTTGATCTCAGATTTGACCGGTGGACTTTCCTAGTAATAAGGAGTCTTTTTAGGAGTTTTAATATTTTAGGAATTCTTTTACTATTTTTGGTAGAGTTTGAGTCCTTGTAGGAGTCTTGTTTCTTTTTTTTCTATTTAAGAAGAGTCTTGTAAGCCCTAGAGGCATAACTTTTGATTAATAAAATTTTGTTTTTCCTCAATATTTCTTCGTGGATTCGAAGCTCTTCGTGGATTCGAAGATCGTTCTTTGTGGATTCAGAGAACACCCTTAGTGGATTCCGAAGTTACAACTTCCGCGCTGCGTCAATTGGTATCAGAGCGGAAGTATGAACAAACATCAACTCTTCGAAACGGGAGGATATAATATGGATTATAATAAAGGATTAGATAAAAAGAAGATTGAAGTCCAATTATAAAACAGATTGGCATATGCCTGTTTCCTCTTTTTCCTCCCCATGCTTACTCTCTCCTTATGGCCACGTTAGTTGTTTTGGCACGATAGTAAAGCAAATTAAACTAGATTTTATATGAAATTAACTTCAAACTGCAATTGACTGGTAACTTTCATTAATGATGAAAACATTTAAGCATACTCTAAAGTCCAAACAAGAATATGTTTTCTGTCTTTTCTTCCATTCTATAGTTCTAAAAGAAGATTCAGTTCGATGAAATAGCAAAGAAGAAGGCTGCAGCAGATGTGGGAGATAATTTTTTGTTGAGCGCGGCGGAAGCTTTCTAGGGCAACACGAACAATAACTCGAACTAAACCACAAACAATATG